ATCATTTATATTATAAGCCTCTACTTTTGACTTTTGTCATAATTTTTATGTATATATTACCTCTTTCCTAAAACATTCTTTGCTCCATCCTCATCCGACAATCATCGTTTTTACATTATCCATATATATCAATGTTTCTTTCTCTCCGTCTGTCTGTCAGTTAGCAGTGTCGTGTCCGATCTGTATCTTTTGAATTGAAATTTTTTATCAGAAAAGTTAACCATAATAAAACGATGTGCAGAGCGCATGTTTGGGTTTCCTCAGATCAAGGTCAAAGTCACACTTTGTGATATTGTATTGATTTCATGCACACTCTTTATCGTTTAAAGCGATTGTAGTAAATTGAATACATATGGCAGAATATTCATTTTACTGAGATGATGTTCAGAGCGGGTGAGTTTGGACTTCGTCGGGCTCAGGTCGATGTTACACACACTCATTCAAAATCCTTATATAACTTTAAATATTATAAAGGGAGATCAAAATGTATGAATTTATTAATATGTTTCCTCGATATACGTAAGTAATTTTATTAGTATGTTACCTCCCTTTATTATCAACAAATGTGTTACTTTTGATATACAAAATTCATTAAATGACTGAATATCAAGCTGGCGTCGAATGCGGAATCGCCTCTGAGATCTATTTTAAAAATCGAATATCGTACTAGCATTGAACCTAGAGTCAGCTCTGAGATCGATATCTATTTTTTATGAAGGGCAAAATTCAAGCTAACATCGAATTTAATGCTTGCTCTGAGATCAATTTTCAATATTTTCAAAACACGAATATCCCGTCAGATGTGAATTCAGAGCCAGCTCTGGGGTAGATGTTTAAATTAGATTGTACGAGCAAATCATTTTTCAAGGCAAGATTTAAAAATGTAAATTCAGAACTAGTGCCAAATTAAAATTTTATGTTCTAAAACGGCTCAAAGATTTTGCTCAATAAATGAAAGCCAGACATGAATCATAAATTAAACGTATAACAACTTATTAATCATTCCGTGGTATCTCTTTTGGAATCAGTTCTGGGAGTCGCTCGCAGAAAAATGAACTTCTTTTTCCAAGACGGGAAGTCTTTGTGTGTAATGCATCAGTCATTTGTTACAACTGCCTAGGTAAGACATAGTCTCGAATCCATCTCAAACGAATGAGTGTAAAGGTTGTTGCCCATGGAAACAATGACTGGCCTCTGACGGGGTTTAAACCCTTAAATTACAAATATTATGCGTCAATCACTTGGCAACACCATCACTTAGCAGCGACTTTGATGTTTTAGTTTATTACTCGTTTTTTAATACTTATTTTTATATTGATAGTTTTTCATTTTAAGTTGAACTTTAGATTTTTGCATGACTTTCAAATCTTAAAGCTTCTAAACAGTAGTGGAGCTTTAAATAAAAACGTTTTCCGCTGCCTAACACAATTCATGTACCTAAATTCGAGTATTTAAAATACCCGTACATTATGGCCAGATAGTAATCCAATTTAAAGGGAGGTGATAAAGTATGCATTTTATTTTTGATATTACCACAATTAAAAACGTGATTATAAACAACATTATACCGCAATTCTTTAAAAGATATGTCTTTAGTACATGTACATATAAAACATGTTCTAATAAGGAAACCTGCCAGGAGCTCGGGTTTCCGTAATTTGTATGTATATCTTAACATAACTTCATAGACGAAAATACAGACAGAGTGTCCGTGACGAGAGATGGTAGTTATCTATGTAATTGCCCTGATATAATATATCAATAATGATGATAACAATAATAATAATTATAAAAAAAACTTCAAAAGTGAAGCATTTAAATAGTCCGCTCTAGCTGTCGTTACACCGCGTGTCTCATATTTTAACCGATGTCTCTTGACAGCTGCGACAGATACCAGACGTTAAGATTTGAAGAAATTTATACTATAAGATGTTATTTATCAGCATTTTTAACTTTTTAATTAGTCAGATGTCACTATGCCATAATAAGGCGTAAGAATATGTAACCGTATATTATGACCCCCTTTAGTGCAATATTTGCCTGTAATAGCGTGAAACGTAGGGGCCTGAGAGAGAAAAGCCGATTGATGACGCTTCGTCTCATGCGCGTAGGATTTATTTTGGATCGGCATATCATTTTTAGTAAATTAACAATTATCATGCGGTTTAAAACACATGAAAGGAAATTCATTTAAATTGGGAACCGTGTCAGGAATTTTTGTTTGCTCAATCAACGATTTATCTTTAATTACGTGATATGTTGGGTCAAAAAGTCGCATAAAACGTTTGACATTACGATATATTTTTGTAGAAAAGATACAAAAAGTCTAAGACAAAGTTCCCAATATATTATAATGATGTTCTATTGCAGTTTGATGACAAAAACAATAAAAAATTCTTTGATATGACAATTTAAGGTTATACCATTTTTGCTCAAAATCAATTGTTTACAAAGACATTTAAAGTTATTTTTATCAAGATCAAAGACATTTTATGCATAAAATTTAAATAAATGTCAATTATTATTACAGAAGTTGGATTAAATGATATTTATGATTGTACCACGGAAAGTGTCTGTTGTCGCCTTAAAAGAAGGTGAATAACAATCACAATCTCGGAGCCAGCTCTGTTTTAACGACGATCGTTCCTTTAAAACAGAACAAATAAATGTCTCAGAGCCAGCTTTGTGTTCGCAGCTAGTGCAAAATTCATCCTTTTCAAAGAGAATTGTTAATAGTCTCAGAGATATCTCTGTATTCGGCGATAGCCTGATACTCGCCCCCTTTTTAAACAGGAAAATAAAGATCTCAGTGCCAACTCTTGCTTCGCAGCTTGCACAATATCCACTTCTTTAAAAGAGAATAAATAACTATCTCAGGGATAGCTTTGGGCTTATTGCTAGAACAATATTTGACTTTCTAAGAAAGAACGAATAACGATCTTGTTCACAACTGGAACGATACTCGCTCTGTTAAAAGCGAACGAATAACGATGTCAGATCCAGCTTTGTATTCGGTTCATTTAATAGAAACACATATCGACCTCTCAGTGGTTAAGGTTCAATTCACCATTAGTACGACATTCGCTTCTTAAAAACATATTTAATAACGCTCTCATTACCTGCTTTGGATTCAACACAAGTGCGATATTCGCACGTTCAGAAGAGACCAAATAATGATATCAGATCCAGCTCATGTTTCAACGTTAGTGAGATTATCGCTTCATTTTAAGTGAACGAAGAATAATCTCGGAGTCAGCTCTGTATTCTATATTTGTTCCTTTAAAAGAAAGCGAAGAACGACCTCAGTGCCAGCTCTATGTTCGCCGCTAGCTCTATGTTCGCCTGGTTATGCAGGCTACACAAACTCTGATCTCCTTTCAAAAGTCCGTTTTATTTAGTTCCGCCTTTTAATTTTCGTTTAGGAGTCAAGCATTATCTAATTTGGGGACCATGTGCCGCTTGTCATGGAATGGCACTTAAGTGTCACAGAAGATTCAATAATAACTGCTGTATCAACTTTTAACGAATAGATGTTTCTAAATTCGAAATGTCACCATTTTTACCCCTGTTTAAATGTTGAAATCTGCTTAAGCTAGCGGGCGTTGACGGTGACTTGCACTTTCAAGTACCGTCCATAAACAGGCTCAATCAAACTGAGCCTGCAACATTTTCAGTTTTGCCATTTTTTGCGATATTTGCGCTTAAAGATTGCTCTGAGTGTTATGTTAAATTCACATTCGCCTTTTTAAAAAAATGTAAATACCGACTTCAGAGCTAGTTTGCAATGCAAAGAAAGCTGGATAGTAGAAATTAAATTTCGATGTAAATAAAGCCCACTGAATAATTTGTATTATTACTAAAATGTCAGCTATAATTGTTTGTTATTTTGCTAATTTTCAAATACTTAATTTTATCATAGAATAAACTTTGGTACGAGAAAGTTATACAGACTCAGTGACACTTCGGAGATTCAAACAAGCTGTCGTCGCAATGTTGTTTTTTCCGTTTCTTGCAATTCCGATGTTTGCTGAACAATCTTTATTCTATTTGACCTGATCCAGCTTTGTACTTTAGCGGCTGCTCTTGTCTTCTAATAAGGGCCCCAACACTAGTGCACATAATTTTGAATAATGTCTTTTATTACAGCACATTTTATTAGTATTATAATTTATATGTTCATCATATTCTATTTAAAACATATTAGGGATTTGTATAATAAAATAATAAAATTTTATCACCTCTTTTAACATACGCATGACATTCCTTTTGGCAACGTTTTACCAAATCAATGATATGTTGCCCGAACGTTATTGTTTTGATTTTGTTTTCCCTAAATATAAGTTAAACAAATATGAACTATGAATAAGTATAAACCAAGCAACAAACATTTCATTTAGAATAATACCATTGCGTGCAGGAAAAACTGTCATTAAGCAACATAAAATTTAATTTCCGTAAAAAGCATACCCTGTTTTCATTATAAAATTAATGATAAATGAGTATATGAAACAATTACCGTCTTAATAATAAATTCGTATTACAAATTCTATATATAGATATGTGAATATTGATCAGAAAAAGGAAATGATGAGACTGTTCTCTTTTTCAAACCTTTAGGAAGCCTAAGAAAGTAAATTTGTACATTGTCAAAAGTAAATGAGTTGTTCTCATCACAAAGAGTTTCGTATAATATTAGTTACTTAAGAACGCAATTTTTGTGAATGGATTTGATTTGAAACAAAGGGTGAAATTTTAAAAGAAATAGCATGTAAACGTTCTTCACTAGGTGATACTTTGTGAGTGAATATAGTACATGTGATAATGACACAAAAATGTGGCTGGCTTCTAAAATGATATTTTTATCAACTTATTTTATATCTTTTTTCGATGTCTCGATGTTTTTTTTTTATGAATGGCTACAATATTTGAAGGCAGAATGCAACTATTAATCATTGACCATATTGTTAGCACTGTAATAGCACTGTAATAATAAGACAAGATAAGAAAAATACATATTTTTATTTACGTAACATTTGTGAACATACAAATACATTTTAATAGTCTAGTTTAATGTAATCTGGTTACATATTTATTATATACATCACAAACACACCAAATCAATAGGCCTATAAGTAATTGTTATTGGGTTATAGTGATAAAACCTGCAATTTTCATATAATTTTTTTGTTTTAATGTTTTTAGGGATCACTTTTTTCCAGATACTATTTATAGTATAGCAACAAGCTTTTATTTGGAAATATCATGGCCTGGACCGACATTGAGGGTGTTTCTCAGCATAATGTGTTTGAGGCCATAAAGCTGAAGAGAAAAAACTATTTGAACAATGATGATAATTATACATTTTTATACTGCGGTAATCTACATAAATATATCAGTTACCTTTTTGTTAATTTGTTAATCCTTAAAGAGCAATATATATAGGTTTCTTCTTCATTAATAGTCAATTGTAAAAAAAGTTATTGCATGATTAGGTATCTGAGATATATTTTAATACGATCAAACCGTTTACAGTTCGCAATATATCAGTTGTATGAAAACAATATAGAAACTTAAGCTGCTATTTATTTTTGCCTACGTTGACATGTTGGACTGTATTTGAAACATCTATCTACAAGATGTATGTTTCGTATTGCATTGCTGATCAAACATAAAATAGCCTCATATGTAAAAGTTGACTCTAAAACTGAAAGTAATCTCGTATTTTTTTTCTATGTAAAAAGACACATACGGATCGAATGATAGCTTATATGACAATGATTTGAAATGTGGTGTCATTTATGTACCCTCAATTGGCTCAATATTTGCTCATAAAGACCCATTTTTGAGATCCAAAATGAAATATTCAGATATTTTTCAAAAAACAAACATTGCATGTTATTTGGGGATGTTAATGCAAGTTATGGTAACCTGATTGATTATTTAAATATTGATCCATTTATATCAGATATGAATGATTAACAAAGTATACAAAACAAAGATTGTGAAGTTATGAAAAATATCAGCTTGTATAACATTCATGTAAATAAAAAGAATACGGGTACTGTTGTTAATCATTACGGTAACCAATTGATTGACCTGTGTAAAAATAACAATATGTTCCTTTGGAACGGAAGAATTGGAGAAGATTATTGTGTTGCTTAATTAACCTGTAAGAACACAAGTACTGAAGATTATTTTTAGTCATCATTTTATGTTTTTGAAAATGTTGTAGACTTTATGTACAGACTCAATCAAACCGAGTCTTCAATTCTTATGTAATATTGTTGTGATTAATGCTTCCGAGGGATCACTTTCTTTCTAGATTTTAAAATTCATGAATTTTGCAGCCTACTTTCTGATGTGCATTGTGCTCTGCAGGCTGTAATTAAAGTTAAATCATGTCATATTGTTAATACAACGGTACAATGTAAACGATTGACACCAAAACCAATATTATGGGATTGCAAAAATATGCTGAATTGTTTGCTGAAAACCTTGATATTTTTAAGATTTCTGAAATTGAAATGAGACTTGACCAATTAAACGAGAATGATATTGTTTTACAAAATGACCTGCCGTGCATGATATTGTATTTATATTTCAACTTTATTTCAAGAAAGTTCAGAAATTTCTTACACAAAAATCAGACAAATCAAAAGGAAAGAATACATTACAATGGTTTGATAGGTCATGTAATATGATGAGAGATACTTATCACAAAACTAGAAAAGCTTACAACAAATTTAAAACGCTGTATTTCAAAGAACTATTAAAATCCGTAAGTAAACAGTATAAAGGTGTTTTACGAAAGGCGAAAAATAATTTTAATAATAAAACAATCAACAAGCTAGGTAAATTAAAACATACTGACCCTAAGCAATATTTTTATTAAGTTTATTAATAAAACAAATGTTAAGGAGGACAGTATTGCTTCCCTTGATTAATTTTTTGAGTATTTCAAACGTCTAAATGTAAATACAGCTGCTGATGATAATGGTTATAGAAATGAAAATTATACAGGCGATGATGCTACAATACACGAGGAAATAAATGACCCTATAACAGACTAAGAAATTCTAGATGCTGTTAAAAGACTCACAACAAATAAGTCACCATGAAAGACAGGTTTTTCTGGAATATGGTATGCTCAATGTTTAAGCAGTTACTGTAGTAAATAGCTTATTAAAGCAAACTATCAAAAGTTAATAGATATCTATATTCAAAGTCGAAGAGCTGAAATTACCAATACATCAGACTCGAATTTGTATAAATATATAAAAGATAACTTTTGTAGAAGCGCGTACATAGACAAGTTACCTCTGTATTTTGATTGGATTTTTATGTTTTTAACAAGAAACTATCGCCTTCCAATGGGACGTGGCAAAACATACCCGTAAACGATCGTAAATGCACTCTTTGTAGAGATATAGGAGATGAAGTTCATTATATTTTTAAATGTCCGATATTTGAAAACGAAAGGCTTCTGAAATGACTTTACTGGCACAAATGCTCTTTATGCTGCTAGTATATTGCATTATTTTTCTTTTCTTGTGTTTCACGAAAGAGTTAAATAAACAAATCATTATAAATTGAGTAAAGCATATTTATATACTTGTTTTTGGCATTTGAATTATTTAAAAGAAAATGTGTGTCTTTGTTACATGTACATAATTTAAGCCTCTCTCTTTCATGAAAATGTTAAAAATATGCAACATGTAATAATCACCTTTGTTGAAATATGAAATATTTACAACACTTCTGTTTCGACATTTGAAATAATGTGTATCCTCGGCTATATGTACAATAAGTATTAAATTACTATCTTTATGCTATAAGTTTGTTGCGCACATTTTTGTTCTCATACATGCAGACCTAAGATTCGAATATGAAACTTTTTGTTTTATTATAAACAATTGTTACTGAAATGAATGTTAATTTGTTAGAGCCTGTATATAACCTGGAAATCTTTCGATTTTTTTCGATATGCTTTCGTTTCGCTTTGTTCGGGTTATTATGAAAGGTGTAAGCATTCTATTTGATCTATTAGTCATACTAATTATGTTAACTTAATATATATTTCTTCTCATCAAATTGTAATATATATTACTATTATCATTAGAATTCAATATTGCCATTTTTCATTATGTATTTGTATATGTTTCTGTATGTGTACTGCTGATGTTTCCCGCTAATGTGGGACTTGTGCATTTTGTAAAAAATTGAAATTGAAGGTTTTCTATTTAAGGTTATTGTGCTTGAAATACATTGAATATATAACCCTAGATTTTGCTAAAATATTAAGCACATTATGCCACAGGAACGCATATTGTTTTCTTTTTCTTTAGGAAGGGCAAATATGGGTTTTAGAATATTGCCATAATTGATAAAGAAACTTTGAAATTCTTATCACTTTAAGAATAAAGCAATGAATGTGATTGATTTTGTGATAAAACTAACAAAATGTAAACAATTCCAAACACAAAGTAACTGTGATAATTGCTTGAACGCAAAAGAAGCTAAGGCTGTTTCAGGTATATGCATTTGGCCAATAAGTAACTTCTAGGAAATAAGCAGAATGATAAACATATCCTGGCTCTTGCTAAAGCAATTATGTTAAGTCGATCCTAATGTTAAAGAAGCGTTTATTGCTTCCGTCAGTCGGCATCGGCTTACCCTAAAATTCTGTACTGGGACTATTGTTAAATAAGTATAGACTTTTAAGGTAAAGAGTTAAGTTCGTTTGAAGAAAATAGTAGGGCGATAATTGGCAAGGATTTTATAATCTTTCTGAAACAGTTTGAGTCATATCATTTTGAACACAGTTTCCCATTTCTTTGTCAACGCTTACCACATTTCTCTTATATTTCCGCCATATTTGTAAGCATTCTTCTACTGGCGGCAACACAACAACTATCACTGTACAAATAAAACAGTAAATCTGAAACGTTTTTAACCATGATGAGAACTGGTCAAAATTCAGAACCTCGTAACTTAAAGCAATCGCTGGAATTATAATCACAAATATCACCAAACTGACAACACCACCAACTGCAGCATATAATTTCGCTTTTTTGAACACAATGTCCATAGTGCTGGCTGTAATATAAGTTCCTGCATTCACCGCTTTTAACTCTTTCTCGTATACTTGACAGAATGGCTTCAGTGGATTATCTATGTTGATAGTTTTGGCCCATTCCCTGTCCGCATCAGCGTCACAGCTTATTTTATGTGTAAAGAGAGAGACACCGACACAAACTAAACAGCTCACAACGAAACCGCTTAATATAGCAACTAAAAGACTGTAAGATTCTGCAGTGTTAACGTAAAAATTACTGAGTCCGCCTTCATATGTTGATCCCATCGCCAGGATACCGGCAATAGAACACATTGTTCCAATAATACCGCCTGAAATATAACGTGTTTTATAACATACTTTCAACCTATCTAGCGAAAAATACAGGCGTTTTTGATTGAAGAAAAAAGAAAATCCGTTTCTGTATTTCATATACTTTATTCAACGACTAGTATGTGTTGTTGTCGCCGTTACTTGACGGCGATCAATACGATAAACAAGATTTGTTAAAATAAAATCGGATAACCCGACTGTACGGCGATTCTTAGCAATTGTTTAAATACTAATATTTGCATGTCAAATAATAATGATGGAATACTTCTGTATGTAACTGTTTCACAATTCCGTGTTTCCGGAGATGCCGAACGTCGACGGGAATTACACAAGTTGAGTCCAGTTAACCTGTGTTTTAACACTTTTTTTTTCTTTACATTGAGCAACAAAAAAAACATGCTTTCATTTGATAAATCTAAAGGAATAACGCTTGTTTAAACACAAAAATGGCTTACCTGCTATGACACCTTGCGATGTTGCCTTTGACCAAGTAATTGTCAAAAACAGTGGCCATATGAAGGGACTCGTTAGAATCTGGGTGCTTAGTGTTGCCCAGTTTACGTTCATTCCGGTTTCCGACACGAGCAAACCATATGGTACTATACCTATTACAACCCATATCATACACCAGCTCTGAAATCATATACCAGCTCTGAAAAACCCGCCTATCTTTTCTATTATAATTATAAAAAAAACCCCCTATATTATTAGAAATAAAGTTTGAAAGAGCATATCATATCATCACTTCTAAACAAAATCAGTATCATATTATGCATCATATGAAATATCAATTTACATCATATACCAGCTCCAAAGTAGGAACATGTATCAAAATTAACAACTCGTATCTTATACCGACCTTAAATAGCAACTAATAAAAGTCCTTGAATATCAAAATGATAATTTTTACGTAAGTTAAAGATATAAATCTAACTGTCGCAACAAACTCTTTAAGTACTTTACCAATTTTTAATTTAATAAAGATGTCGCCAAGAAGTTAAAATACATAAAACAATGCGAGAGATACTTTCTGATACCGTATAAGACTGCAATTTAACACCTCTGATATACGTAGCCACAAACATGTAAGAATAAAGAACCTGTTGCTATGATCACTAACCTTATATCGAATAAGTCCATCTTCATACTGCCTGTATTTACCATGAGTGGAACAAGTATAAACAACATTGTCAATACCGTCTCTCGCTCGGTTTTCAATATCCAATTCACATGCTTTACAACCAATAGAAGATGGACACTGGCACAGATCGTTTCCTTCAGCACACATTTCCTTCAACTTTTCCTTTCCGCACAATAAACAACTTGTCGGTGTAATATTTTTCCTTAGAATGATAAAACTGTCCGTTATGCATAGATATTATACATATATATATAATTTACTAAAGCAAGAAACTTTTTAATATATTAATCTTGATGGAAGCTGTTTGTTATTTCGTTAGTGTATATCTCTTATCATTATCAACAGCTAATAAAGAAACAGTGCGATACATAAAAATGAATGAATGATATTACAAAAATGTATTCATAACCATCTCTAGTAGAGGTAATAAATATCTGATAGCAATATAATATATGCAAAAAAACATCTCTAGCAGAGATAATAAAAATCTTATAGTACTATAATACGAGTTTATGCAAAAAAAAAATCTATAGCAGAGATAATGGATATTTGATTGTACTATAATATATGCAAAAAAAACATCTCTAGCAGAGATTATTAATATCTCATCGTACAATAGAATATGCAGACACTCTAATGTGTACAGCAAAACACCTGGTAAGTAAACATAAAACATAAACTTTAACGTATCAATAATATTGGCGGAAATATTCAAGTAATGATAATGCATATTTGATACCACTATAATATGTTCGGAAACATTCAAGTAATGACACTGCATATTTGATATCACTATAACATGTTCGGAAACATTCAAATAATGATGATGCATATTTGATAACTATATAATCTGAGCAGAAACAACTCTATGATGGGTTCTCTGCAAAATTTGAGACATTTTGTATTTCACATAACGATTCAAATATGGAAAATGAGAAAAAGGGTCAACAAAGAAAGGCGACGGTCACAGAATGCAGTCCTTCCACCTCCTTCCCGTGGGTATCTATATTCGAAGAAATATCGGTTTGAGCCTTGCTTTGAACGGGTCAGTTATTTACACAATATCTGAACGGTTTGATGTATGTCTTATAGTAAAGAAATAACGTTTCATATTACCTGAAGGGTTTAATGTATGTCTTGTAGATATCATATACAATAATAGATGACACAGCCATAACTTCTCCTGAACCTGTCGACATTAGTGACATCGTCAACATGGTTAACAACAAGTAACCGCCTGTTTGTCCCAGCAGATCATTCATCACATATGGAGTTATGTAACCTAGTGAAATCCATGGAAAATGCAGCATTATTATTTTGTTTCTGTCCAACAATAAACTACGTTGATATATGTAAGTTAACCACAACATCTATTAAAGGTAATTTATAAATTGAATCTAAGGTGATATATCTGATTATTGGATGATATGTTAAACTTTGTTTCATGCATGGATAATTACAATATATTATTTTAATCATATAAACTTCATACATGTCACATACATACCGTTGTCAATTTCCGCCAATGTAAGGATATGCGTGCCATTTTTAGCGCTGAGGGAAAAATATGTCATTGTTGCTGTAAAGGAGAGAGCTGTCGGTATAACAAACCAAATGTATGCTGCTAGGAAAAATCCCAAAACACCTTGAGATGGTTTAGCCGCTATTCTGCTTTGCCAATTCGCCTGGTCACAAAAACTAGTCGATGTTGCCATAAACATAAGGACAACTCCATATATAATTCCTGGTGCCGACCGGAAAGTCAAATAAGAGTTGTTAAAGTTGTCATCAGGAGCTTTCAAACATGATGCTGCATTGTATAGAGCTTCTACTGATGAAATATCTTTGATATCTTCAGCAGGGGAATAACTAGTATATAAAATGAAGACACTGACAGTTATAAATGTCAGTGCAGTGTTAAAATATGAGATATAGAACGTCGTACCAAGGCCTCCAATCATACAGTACGAACCAAACATAACCGCTAAAATAAGCACAATAAACTCGTTGTTTGTATCTTTACCGAGCACCTGTAACGTAGATTTTCCCGCCAGTATCATGCTGGTTGTCACAATTAGATTGGACAGGAGACCCACACCACAAAACAGAATATGTGCTGGTTTACCAAACCTAGCATACGCTATCTGAAACATAAAATCAATACGTGCAGTTTCAAGTAACGTAGACATTCAACATATTCTTTCTTTTTACAATTATCATCAAGCATCGCCAATCAAAAGACAGTAGCATGTTATTCTCTATTTATCATTTAGATTACAGACTTGTGAATCATCTTATTTATGTTTTACAAATACATACAACAACACGTTTGGAACATGTTATGTCTTTGTTGTTATTTATTAAAATCTCTTGAATACATTTTAATGGATTTGTTGTCATATGTTTTACCATAAGATCATATAAACCATACCAACATACGAATTCTACACATTTGGAGGTGGTAATTTAATTCGGAAAGAATGTATTACTTTGATGTAAGTAGAAATGCTAAGGCATTCCAGGACAATATGACACGCATCAACACGATAATAGCCATATTTTATTACCATGGGCATATTTTGATAAGTGGAACCATGATTTCCACATGAAAGTACATGTACATGTATTATATACCGTTGGAAAGATAATGGATTTGTCTAACAAACAGTCTATTTTCGCACGATTTGCACGTGTAATAAAATTTAAGCAGGTCATTTATTTTATGCCAGTTGTAATAATAATTATATCAGTCCGGATCGGAAACCCTAGATGTCCCGTCATGAGGGACGGATATTCCGATCCGAACCGCAAACATGTTTCTATCTGTAAAGCTTTTTTGTAAAATCATCAACTGTTTTTGTATGTAACCCTCACAGTAAATTGACATGAGTATAAAAATATGCACTTTTAATGTAAAAGATTTGGTTATTTATTTAATATATAAAAGATATTTATTTTTACACAAAACATATTTAAAAAAACCCACATTTTTGTTATATGTACTTCAGAGGGAATAAACAGGTTGTTTTCAGTAGAAAAACTAATAATAGTGCACGTGTGTGAATCGTAATCCGAAACTAATTGGATAGCAAAATTATATATCATTTATGGAAATAATTTGTGGAAGATAAATTGCAATTGAATTCAAACAATGAACACATATACAATAATGAATTTTACAAAATATTTAACGATAATGGCATTTTTGAATAGTTGGATAAACTCATTTCTGAAAATGAAAAGCAAATGGTATGATAGGAGGCGATTCTGTTTAAGGTAAAGAGTAAGATACAATGAATGGTAGGAAAGATAACCAAGGATATCATAAAAAAACATCGCGCGTTTTCTTATTTAGAGAATGAAAATCGCATATAAAATTAAAATTCACTTCGGATTTGCGTGACAAACCTGTTGCTTTTTAATTTAAGAAACATTAAGAAATCATGCATGTTAATATAAAATTGAAAAATGATTTATATATCGAATCACTCAAGCGTTATATTGTCATAAAAACACATATTTATAAAAGTGAGAAGGGTACTTAAAACTATCTTAAAAATGAATATAAAAAACGTTAACCGAGCATTTATTGAAGAAACCGCAATACAAAATACAATGTGGATGAACGGAACGTCGTTGGTTTTACTTAGGTGCCCGTTTGTGCCACAAATAATTCTCAGAGGGGAATCTAGGATCTTCCTCCACCAATAAGCTGCAAAGTCGCCATATGACCTTAAATGTGTTGATGCGATGTATGTACGCTGTGTTTACTCGAAAACATATAAAAATGGATGTGTGCTGTGTATGAGCGTTACTTGGAAACATGCAGCAATGTGTATTAACGTAACTCGGACATGCTTGCGCGCGCGCGTGTGTGTGTGCGTGCCAGCGTGCGTGCGTGCGTGTGTGTGTGAGTGCACGCGCGCGTGTGTGTGCATAATAAAATAATATTTCGTGACCAAATCTCGTTTTTGATTACGTGTAGTTTTAAGTTTATGTGTTGCACTAAGAAGTAGTAATGTGATAAATAGCGATACCAATTTAGTATTCATAAACCACTAAATTTACGTAGCCTAAAATGATATTATGTATCCAAATTTTTGATAACGTGTGTAACCGCCATGTGCCCGAATGATAGCCTCAACACTTATCATATTACCAGGCGTCTAATGCGATTTTGAGGTATTTGTGCTTGTTCCAGTTGTTGCAGGTTGACTACAGGTGATTAGCACCATTGCCCAAATAACAGTTAAATAACATTTAAAATTTCAGTTGTGGTCATGCCAAAATTTAAGCAAAGCGCCGGGTGTGAGGAGAAGGTTTGGGCTATCATCTGGGCATTAAAAAATTGGCTACATAATATTATTTAAGGTTACGTTATCGTCACTATTTACCAGAAATATCCACCAGTTAATGTTTTGTAAACTCTCCAACACAATACTTAGTAAAATTATTAGGAAAACGTGTGATCCCACGGAAGCATTAACCACAACAAAATTACATAAAAAATGCAGATTTGGTTCGATTGAGTCTGTACATGAGGGATAATGAAAAAGTGCAACACCCCTAACGCCCCCTAGATCCGGCTAGAGCGGTACTCGATTTTAAACATTTAAAAGTGCTGGAACTTTTGATCCCGAAGGACCAGAAAAATATAACAACACTAAAGTAAAGTACGGGGCAACTTTTTACAGCTGTCACACAGCATTGTGCTTATGCTTAAATCATTTGGTTAAGAATAAACTAACTCATAAATTTACTGGTTTGTGATTACTTAATTAGTATCGATACTAATCAAATTACTATTTCTTAGCTCAGTTGAGTCGTCATCTCTCATGGCAGTGCTTTCAATCACAACTTATTTTAAATTTCCTGGGTGTGCTTAACTTATTTCTAAGTGTATATTACACGATTACAGAGAAATGAATAGATTATAAAAAGACAAACAATGTTCAATTGTGCTTGTAGTAAATATTAAAATAAAAATATGGGATAGATTAATCAGACGAATTACTAATAATTATAATAATAAATATGATTTTTCACTGTTCTCAAACGGATAGATATAATAAATTTTGGTAAATGTGAACATGAAATTTTTATCTTTAAAAACTTCTCTGAATTTCGATCCTTGTATCGGGCAACCTATTGCTTGCAGAATGCGACTAAGAGAGATATACGCAAGTAGAGCGAGTGTCAATTACATGCTTTCCTAATGGCAATGTATATTTTAATATAAACTTATAACATATTAAAGATATACCTGGGGGAATGTTTTAGCTCCCGGTGCTCGTGTCTTCAAGTAAATAGAGAGAGTGGGAAACAACAAAATGTCAACAACAACTCCAATAGCCATCCACAGGCTTCCACCTAGACCAGACTGTAGAAAAACACGATACATGTATATCTTACAATATGAGATCGAACATTTCACTAACAAACATACCAATATTTTCCAGGAATGAATTCCTGAGCTTTGATTAAGAGCCATGACCTTGACAATCTTGTTTTAAAAAACTTCAGCAGTATCAAAATATGGTTTTTAAATTGATCTTTATCAATCTGAAAATGTTTTCGATCTGTCTGTATGAATGGTGTTCTTCCTAGATATTTATAATACCAAATTTTGTTTTGTGGCATCTATGTATACATAGTTAAAAGTGTATATAAAATGACGTTCTATAATATTTATTCATATCTTAGATGTCCTTCTGGATATATATGTATAACATGATATTACATTACATGATTTTTATAAGTACATAATAAATAGTTCTTTGATATATATTAGGTACATTTGTATTCATAAATATCCAAGAATGACACTTTTTAATTAAATATTTAAAGTTTTATTGGGACGTCAACTAATAGGTATATATAAAACTATATGTTAAATATAGCTACTAGTATTTGTGCTATATATGCTCATATGTTTCTATGGTATCTATATTCATTTTAAAAGTATCTTTCATGGATACTTATAAATACTTGAAATGTCGTTTTGGTATATTTATACTTATTTCAAATATCGTTTTAAGCTATGTATAATTTTAAAATGTCGGTCTAAAATATCTATACATATTGAAAAGCATAGTTCTGCGATATTAATAAATACTAAAAATGTCGTTTTTTGACATCTATATCTATAAGATGCGGCTTTTTAGCAATCTATTTGTACTCCTATCGAAAACAATTTTTATTTTACCTATAAAATACGTCATTTTGAAAAAGTAAAATATGATATTTCAGTCTAATTGTTTGCCACTTTTTCTTGCTAGAAACAGGTATGCCGAACTGAATTAACTTTTCATACTTTGCTTGTAAGTGTTGAACTTTGAAGAAAGTCGGCCGGCCATAACATTTGTGACGTCACAGTTACTGCTGTCAAACTAAAGGTAACACGACCACCAGCATCAAATACCGTATCAAGATGTTGATCGTCTTTAAACACGTACTTGCGGAGTGACTTGTAACCACGGGCAATAAGAAGAGAAAATCCGCCAAACCCAAGCAAAAGAAGTAATGTCAAATGACTCTTTGGTATAGATGGGGCAATCCTAGAAAAATAGAGAAGCAAAAGATATATTGCAATCGTCATTCATAATCACATATAGACCAAAAAACTATTTATGTGTTTTGTGGAAGGAATATCGTTTAACGATGTAATGTTTAATGCAAAAAAATTCTATCTTAATTACTATTTGGACGAATATTGAAATAGGCGTATTTGTGTGTATATGTGCGTGTAGGGTGTGTGCGTGCGCGCATGCGTACTTATTTGTGAGACGTTATATGAAATACCTTGATTGTCCTTTGTACTCCTTCAATTGAGTTCCACAAGTTTCCTCACCTCCAGCTTCAGCTTTCAGTGTACATACACACAATGCAACAAAACATGTAACAAAAGTATTCACCTGAAATGTGATAAAAATAGTAGATAACGGGATAGAAAAAGAAGGAAAAGTTGCAAAATGGAAAGAAGGAAAATATGAAAAAATAAAAATGTGTCAGATAACGAAAGGAACTATAAAATAACAATACGTCAGATAAAAAAGAAAGAAATAGTTGTTTTTGAAGGCAAATAAACACGCACAAAAAACACCAACACAGAACACAGGGCTAGTATCAGTTTTTATTGTTGTGTAAACATAATATGTGGTACTTTTAGTTTCTTCTTTTTTGGCCATTTTCATTTGGGTGGTTCAAGTTTGGCCTACTTGAATACTGTATAATCACCCTTAGGAAATGTTGCCTGCTTTTTAAATTTGTCTTTTGACGTCTTGTCTGTGGTATGCAGGCTTCATAACCTCAGATCCCCTTTCAAAATTCCATTTTATTTAGTCTCTCGTTTAGGGCAAAAACATTCTTTTACTTGGGGACCATACGCCGCTTTTCATGGAATGGTACTACTGTGCCACATTGAAGGTTCCATGATAACCGCCGTATGAACACATCTGCGGATGTTTCTAAATTCAAAATTTAACCATTTTTGTGTTAAATGTTGAATTCTGCTTAAGCCGGTGATAGGGGGCGTGGACGGTACCTTGCACTTTCCAGTACCGTCCATGAACAGGCTCAATCAAACCGAGCCTGCAACATTTTCAATTTTATTGTGTTGGACTTTCTTTAGGGATTCTGTTTTTTTTTTTTCTATTGATGATGTAATCACAGTGAATGTGAAAGCCTTATCCAACAAAAGATCTGGTTCCATCACTTATACACTTAAGCTGAATTCAAACAGTTTGGTGATAGTTGGACATATTATGGGCATTTGAAAAAAGAACTTTATTCAAGCTCTGCTCAAATGTAATCCTTCAAGCATAGAGTTTAATAGACACATAGTTAATCCTTTGTCAAAATGTAATAATCAATCATTGTAGTAATAATCAATTCTGACAGCTATAGTTTTTTTTTCTAAAAGTTGGAAAACTACATACCCTGACGTTGTGGTGACTCATGTCTTGTCAAATCTTTGAACGTGAATTAAATAAATGAGTTTGAGAAAATTTTAGTGTTGCAATGGATAATTTGGGTGCTTTATATAATTATATTAAATGTTTTCTGTAACTCTTACGGGCACCTAACTTGAAAAATATGAAAGAACCAAAAATAACACATATTGTAGAACATAATGAATTTGTTATATCGTCCCCTAGTGTTGAGTATTTAAAAACCAGATTCATTGTAAAGATCAGAGAGAGGAACGCGATTTTGGTATCACCTGATACATAATACTAATTACCTCCAACTGAATCTGCTCATATGTCTTGGCTTCCTTCGACGTCAAATTATCGCAAATCATGTTGTCATGCTCTAACTTATAAAAGAGGAATAGATTTAAGGTTTTAAATATTAATTCTCAGCCAGGCTTTTCATTTAGAAAAGGTGGGTGGTTATGTTGTAAACTTTGTTTAGTTATGAGAAAAGATGTAGTTGTTTTCGAAGGACTTTGACAAACGATAATTCGGCCTTTGATGTTCCTTTTTTAACCTATTAAATTGATACATGATACGCATCTCTTTTATTTTCTCCGTTCTTATACACTCTTCGAAGATTTGTTTTGTGCCCTCCTATTACCTATAGCCCTTCCCTGATTTTGGAAGGTGTGCATTTGTGAATTTCGCCCTGCCTTCTTGAGTATATTTCTCAATATGTTACAAGAGGTAACTTTGAATTTCAAGAAAAGCTGATCACGAATGAGTCTCAATTCTCTCAATTGTATTTGTTTCACGTAGCTTTTGGAATTTAATGTCTTGTTAATTTTTTGATAATAGGACATGTTAACAAATACATTGATAAATACATTAAAAGTGTACTTGACACTAATTCAAATTAATCCTACAAATAGAAAAATCATAAATTACATAAAATATAATATTTTTTGAAATACTAAATAGCATTCACTTCAAAGGTTACATGCTTTGTGATTAAAATTTCTATTCGGAACCCTTTATTAAAGTCAAATTTTAGCAACGGCGTAAGCTTTATTGTACAGTGAAGAACAAAGTAGGCAGTATCACAATTTCATGTAGTTGAACAAACAAAACGATTTATAACATATTTATTATTTACTTTTAAAGCAGCATCTCTCCAGAAGATAACACAAAAATATTTTGCTGTACTTAATTTCATAATCTCTCTTCAAATAAATAAGATTTTTAAAAAACAAATCAAAACATCGCTTTTAACGTTCATATTTCGTCATTTTTTGTTCGGAAATAGGCAGTCTGCCTTTCCTCCATCGGAATATTTCTTCTTTTCTATACTTTTTTCAGTACCACATTTTTTTCTGACGATTTTGTCAACTTTTATTTTCGAATAAGAGGTCTGTAATAAAAGATTTACACATGAACCCAACAATAGCAGTATTGAAGGTTTAACTTGATATTTTATTTTATCGTTCTCTTCCAAAAAGGTTTGTACAGGATTTTCCTATGTTCTATGAGAGCCACAATGTAACAGCTTATTAATATCTATCAACTTAGGAACAATATCTAGCTCGTAATGATTCGTCGGACCCAAGTAGTTTCAATGCGGTTATAAACGCATTTAAATCTATTACATCTCCATTGTTTAACATGTTTTAATCTCGCATGGCCCTTGCAATATTAAATCAAAGTAAAGATTTCTTTCTGTTTTATATGAGGAGGATAGGCAAAGAGGCAAAACAATAATTAAAGGGTGAATATACAAGAATTTGAATGACAACTATGCTTCCAATCGGTATAATTAATTTTTTTCTTCCACATTTTAATAGTAAAAATAGATTCTGCTTTTGCAATTTTAGTTTTGTAATTTCATTCTATCATTTCAAATAAATTTACATAAAAGTTGAAGACAAGCTCTCAAAGTTTCGGCTAAAGCTGTTAATGAATTTGTTTGTTTAAAAATAGGACAATTATAATAAGCATTGTATGAGTACCTTTATTTTCATTATTATTTAACAAATTGATAGTATTTCATATATCCCTGACTTTGATATTGATACACGATTCATGTCATCTGCAACTGTAATTGATCATACAAGCAAAATGCACGTTAGATAGGCTCCCTGAATACCCGATAAGCCCATTGATGAACAATAATGAAAGGGCTCTTATAATATACTCTATTAATAAAAACATCCTTCCCGTGAACTAATAGGTTTTATTTTCCCCTGTCAGTTAAGTTAATTCTATTTAATTTCGTAAACTAAGTTGAATAGTGTAAATCAATGTTATGGTATGGTGATTATTTGGATTTCCCTTTCACTTCCATTGCCTTGTGTAGAGTATTGAACCAGAAAGGTCCAAATAGATGTTAATACTGCCTTTTGGGAGTAGCTGAATATTATTTTCAAGTATACATGTATCATAAGTCACTATTACATCCGGGGCATAATTAATGTATAGCCCCGCTAATAGTATGCCTCAGCTTTGAAATGTAACTGTATTTTTGAAATGCATTGAAACTGAGGGTTGTGGCTTTTAAACCCCAAAAGGTTTTTTCCCTTTTCCTTTCTTTTAACACTACCTAAGATTCTCACAGACCCGTATTGTAAAAGGAAAAAGTATTAAATTCCAATGATCTTATTATTACAGGTATTACTTGGCTAAATAATGCTAGATTTATTAACACATATGGAACCTGCTATTTTCAAGTCTAATAAAATCAAACCTACACGTTAAATGTATTAGTACTTGACAATATCAACCAATATACTTTTAAGAAGATTTAGGCAAACAACAGTGGAACCTATCTAATCCGAACTCGTCCGGACCAGAAAAAAAGTTCGTATTAGAAAGGTTCCCGGATTAGAAGGTAATTTACATGTTTGTTCATGTTATTGGCAGAATCGTTTAATGAACGAAAACGGGAATGCATTTGAAATTGCAATATAAATATTTTATTTTTGCAGTCTCTTATCGTTCATTTCTGAGAGGTTAATTTTATAGCAAAGTAAGAACAAAAATTGAAAAAAATCGTCCGGAATTCGGAGTAGACAGGTTCCGGATCCGAAAGAATTTTTATTATTGAAACTAGAACGAGTAAAATCGGGACCGGACACTTCGTTCGGATAAGAAAGGATTCCGGATTAGAAGGGTTCGGATTAGCAAGGCTCCTCTCTGTAATTGTTTCTTAATCAATAGGAAAACATTTTTCATGAGGATGATGTTATAGATTATTTAGAAATACTTCATTCCTCAAAAAGAGATTTTCCAATAAGTTTTTATTCACAAAAAGGTCCATAACTCGTTTATCGTACGGTAAAGTGTGTTTAAACTTTGCATAAAGGTGTTCTTTACGGCAGATAACCGACACATTTTGTCAATTATTCATTGCCTTAAAATATATTAGTTTCGACCAAATAAAATACAAGCCGATTTGTAATGAATACTTGAACTATAAAAACAAGTAAAGTTGCATTAAAATCATAGTTACATATAAATGACACAAATTTACTGTGTTGCTAAGATGCCAAATATTTAAACAAAGTGAAGATTGATTGCCCTTAAGCCTGCACGAGTGGCATGGGTGCTGCGTATCACCTTGTTTAACATTTATTCACATATATCTTTGCAAGGATACTGGTTTTAAATAGGGGATTATTGGCACTCTAATATTTAAATTTTAAGGGTAATATTAAGCTTGGGCCGACACAGCAGTGGATCAGGTTCTGCATATGTTAGAAGAAAATTCTTAAATGATTACCGACTTCACAATTTATTTGGAGTATCTGCAAGAAAAGTGCGTTCAAAGCATATGGTAATAGCATATGCATATGGCAATATGATAAAGCATATGATAAAGCATTTAGAGAATTAACTGATCGATTATGAAAGATCTACAATTAACGATAGAATATGCAAGCAACGTAACAGAGAGGTAGGAAATGAATGCATGTTCTTTGAATTGATCACATTATACTGCTATTAGACAAGCTCTGTTTGGTAATGCAAAAAAGATTAATAATGATTTTTATGAAAAATGACGTTAACAAGTTAAAGCTTTATGTTTTCAATAAAAAGTATTATTTGAGATTATGTTAAATCCTGCCACCTGATCTTAGAAAAAAGTACAGTCTAACTTGCCCATGCGACCACGTGTATTAAGCGACTTTTGTCTTATGCGACCACTTTAAATCCCCCAATCAGTGCTTTAATAAGTAGCTTTTACAACATTAAACCATTTCAGCACTTTAAAAAAAATTAAACATCTTAGCAACACAGTAAATTTGTGTCATTTATATGTAACTATGATTTTAATGCAACTTTACTTGTTTTTATAGTTCAAGTATTCATTACAAATTTTATTTGGTCGAAACTAATATATGACTCATAAAATTACTTCAGCCAGTCATTTTTTATTTCAGCGTTTTTGATATGGAGGATTATTTTAAAAGTGTTTTGAAAGTTTATTAGTATTGTTTATTTATTCTTTAAAATGTTGATGGTTCAGTTTGATACCTGTAAAAGTATTTTAAAGGATATGAGAAGGTGATAACATATTGCTGATTGTCAGATCCTGAAACATAGCGTTATTTAAAAGCTTAGTTTAATCAGATTGTGGTCTTTACCTACATTAAGGAGAAAACTATTACCCCTTTCAATACTACAATTCGACAATATTGTCATGCTAAACGGTCTTCAAGGATCGCAAATATAACATATCTCCAAAGAGATAAAACACAATGAATATATCAGAATGGATACAAATAAACATTTTCATGTCGAATGATTAAACTTGCAGTAGATATTATTATTTTTATCATAATGAATACAATTTATTGAAACGATATACAAAATTAATTGAAACCTTGTGTAAAACTTGAGTACACACTAGAATATGATAACATTAAAATGTGAACAAATTAATTATTTATTTACCGCCATGTTGAAATATTTAAGCATAAAAAGGTCAGCTAAATAATATATATATATATATATATATATTATATATATATATATATATATATATATATATATACAACTGTAAAAGATTATCATAAGTAATATATTAAATCAAACCTTAAATCGTGACATCTTCGCCTTTTAAATCTAAACAGGTAGGCGTCCAGTTTTAATGTGTAAGTCCAATATGAATCGTGTATAACATTAATATTAGACAGCGTGCCGTGCAGTGAAGACCACAGGACGTTGGAATTTTATCCAAATAATCAATTAAGTTAAACGTAACTTCCTCTTTGAGAAGTTAATACGAGAAATGCAACGCATACGAATAGATCAACAATCGTTAATAAAATACTAAGTCTACACCATACAGAAATGCTAAAATTATGATTTCGTTGCTTTTATCTTCCATGTAATTGATTTTCAATTTTCAATCTCTTAAACATCAGCTCATCGTTTTTGCTCGACTGGTGAACGGCAGCGGATCATCAAATAGGATGTAAAGTAAAGATAGCATAAACATAGACATAAAAATCACATCCTGTATGATCATAATGGGATTGTTTAGTTTCTTACATATATAAACATTAATGACTCCTGTGGTATGACAAACATCAAATTAAAAATAAGAAAATATCAGTTTGTTTCATTTCATCTAAAATGCGCACTAAAATGATACAAGGGTTGTCTGTGCTAACATGACCAAATATGTCTTAATATATTATCCCGGAAAAGTATTGAATAAAAAATACAGATTAGAAAACTGGGGGGGGGCGGGTAGACAATTATGTGAAATGGCAAACACAGTTTTAGCAACATAGGTGTTCAACGTATGATTATCAATATATGTATGTCGCACAGAGGGAAATCAGCGTGGGTTTGTCCCAGATATTGTAACATTTTTAGGAAATATAATCACTCAAAGTTCTTAATAAAGTATATAGAAACTGGTGTTTCTGCATTCATGGAGACATTGAAATTATTATGCAGGACAAAAATTAAATTTTTTGATACAGACAAATGGACCCTTAAATGGTTAATGGTAATGATTTTAATAGATTTCATTTTACATAGAGAGGGCAATCGAATAATTTAAATAGCTCAAAATACGCTGCACAGATTAGCTAATTATGAATAAGCAAAAGTTAATGCAATTATACAAATATTATTTCAATGTGTCTTGATTGTGGAACACCGTGCTAAGATATCATAAAACATTTTATATTTTATTTGGAAAAGAGGTTGTGTGAGATATATTACTAATATAAATGATAATGAAACTAAGTTTTAAAAACTTATAAGCAGACGCCTCCATTACAAAAAAAAGAAATGTTGATAATGTTGATAGAATATCAATTGTTTATGTTTACTATTGCATTAAAGATACACGAGGCATACAAATCTCGTAAAGAACATGATTATGTTTTAGCAGTACTATGTTACAGATACGTTCACACTGTCATAAATTTTTAGAAAGGGAATACTAAACTGGTGATATATATTACGATATAAGTGACAATTGTACAAGCATCTATACCATAAGGTATACAATTATAATGTAAATAATCATATACTCAAAACAGTGTATGTCTGTTTGATATATATTTTTATACTTGTACAAGATGTGATTTTTATGTCTATGGTTATGCTACCTTCACTTTACATCTTCATGCTACATTTAATTTGTACATAACCTTCATGGTATTCATGTTATTACCCCCGTGTCTCCTATTTATGCACATTTTTATAATACTGCACGTTTGTAACGTCGCTTTTCATTGGATTATCGTGACGTTTATATAGATTTTTATACACGGCTGCTGTCGATTCATGAAGAAATCTTACTTCTTACTTTTTCTCTAAAAAACTATGCTTTCTGTATTATAAATTCGTTATAAAGATTGTTGACGGGTTATATGGCCATATATAAACGGCTGTTTGCAATAGAACCCTCGCCAAGCGGCTCGGGTTATATTTCCAAATAGCCGTTTATAACCTATCAATAACTAATAGTATATATGTGAATATCTTATTTATATAACAATCATGTTAATCACTTAACTATGGAAATAAAGAGTATATACACCATCCTATGAATTTGACTAGATGTGTGAAATGTGTGTTAATGCTTAAGTCTATCAATGCAACTAAATATGGTCTGATAATTCAAAGTCATGTAGGGGCCTATGCATTAACAAACAAAACAGAAACAAGGGTTTTGAATTTATTTATAGCTGTATCAAGTTAGCATTACATAGAGGATATTCAATAATTGAATAAAATTATTATATGCGAGTCTTTGGCACACAGCCAAACACACACCCACCCACACACACCCCCACACACACACACAAACGCACAGATTTATACACATTGAACATTATATCAAGGTCATTGTTCATATGCAACATATCAACATGTAATGGAGACTGAAATTTGGTTTAATGAACAGAATAATTATATTACTATATTACAATATAGAGTAAATGAAGCACAAGTTTCACATAATGGTATCTATTTAGTAACAGCATTAACCTACAATATACAAATTAGAAGTATGAAACATGTCTTCTTAATTCAGACATTTTGAAGATATAGTTCCAATAATACATGACTTTCATCTTTAAGTTATAGCAAATATCAAATTTTCTTTCATTTTAAGTAATACCTTCAGATTTATGTCATCTACCAGTTCAATGTACAATATACAAATTAGAAGTATGAAACATGTCTTCTTAATTCAGACATTTTGAAGATATAGTTCCAATAATACACGACTTTCATCTTTAAGTTATAGCAAATATCAAAATTTTCTTTTTCATTTTAAAAAGTAATACCCCTTCAGATTTAAATGTCATCCTACCAGTTTCTTCTTTTGAAATTAATGTGAAGAAAATACTAAAAGCGGGATAAAGATTCCCTGAACTTTACAAATACTAACCATTGACAGACAATGAAATTGCAAGACAAAAATAACAAAATAATACATAACTCCTCTTGCTCTTAAATGAATCTCTTACTGTATACCAATTTTTAATAAATGATCTAAATATGGCTGCAATCTCATTGGGGTCCAAACAGTAGTCAACAGAACTTTTTTATAAAATCATATTTACTGGTTGGTAAAGTATCACTAATTCACTGGCTGAAATTGGATTTTCCCAATCTTAAAATTTTTTAGTTTGTAATTTTCATTTCTATCATTTCTAATAAAATTTACATAAAAAAAGCTTGAAGACAAGCTCCTCAAAAAGGTTTTCGGGCTAAAAGCTGTTAATGAACTTTTGTTGTTCAATTTAAAAAAATAGACTACAATTATTAAATAAAGCATTGTAATGAAGATCTTTATTTTTCATTATTATTTAACAAATTTGATAGTATTTCATATATCCCTGACTTTATATTTTAATACACGATTCATGTCATCTGCAACTGTAATTGAATCATACAAGCAAAATGGCACGTTAATAGGCTCCCTGAAACCCCGATAATGCCCATTGAATGAACAATAATGAAAGGGCTCTTAAATAAAATACCTCTAATTAAAAAAAAAAACCTCCTTTTCCCGTGGAAACTAATAGGTTTTAATTGTCCCCCCTGTCATTAAGTTAATTCTATCTTTAATTTCAAACTAAGTTGAAATAGCGTAAATGCAAAATGTTATGGTATTTGGTGATTTATTTGGAAATTTTCCCTTTCACTTTCCGCCCCCATTGCCTTGTTAGAGTAATTGAACCAAGAAATGTTCCAAAATAGATGTTAAACCTGCCTTTTTGGGAAAAATATTTGAATATTATTTTCAATGTTATACAGATCCATAAGTCACTAATTACATCCCGGGGCATAATTAATGTATTAGCCCGCCCGCTAATAATCTATGGCCTCCAGCTTTTGAATTGTAAACTGTATTTTTGTGAAATGCATTGAAACTGAGGGTTGTGGCTTTTTTTAAAAACCCCAAAAGGGTTTTTTTTTTTGCCTTTTCCTTTTTTTAACACTACCTAAGAATTCTCACCAGACCCCGATTGTAAAAGGAAAAAGTATTAAATTCCAATTTTGAATTTTATTATTACAGGTATTACTTGGGCCTAAATAATGCTAGATTTATTAACACATATTGGGGAACCTGCTATTTTTCAAGTCTAATAAAAATTTCAAAACCTACACGTTAAAAAGTATTGTACTTGACAATTTTCAACCAAAAAAATACTTTTAAGGGAAAATTTAGGCAAAACAACAGTGGAAACCCCATTAAACCAAATTCGTCCGGACCCGAAAAAAAAGTTCCCAAATTAAAAAAGGGTTTCCCCGGGTTAAAAAGGGAATTTCATGTTTGTTCAAAAGTTTTGGGAGAAAACGTTTAAAAGAAAGAAAACGGGAAGGGATTTTTAAATTTCTAAAAAAAAAAATTTTTTTTTTAATTTTTTTTTTTCAGTCCCCTTAAACGTTCATTTCTGAGGAAGGGGTTTAATTTTTTGCAAAATAAAAAAACAAAAAATTAAAAAAAAAACGTCCGGAATTCGGAGTAGACCCGGTTTTCCGGGTCCGAAAGAATTTTTATTATTTTAAACTAGAAACGAAGGTTTAAAAACGGGGGACCGGGCACTTCTTTGGGAAAAAGGAAAAAGGGTTCCCGGGTTAGAAAGGGTTCGGATTAGCAAGGCTCCCTCTCTGTAATTGTTTCTTAATCAATTTAAGGGAAAAACATTTTTCAATGAGGATATGTTATGATTATTTAGAAATTACTTCATTCCTCAAAAAAAGAGATTTTTCCAAATATAAGTTTTTTTCTTCACAAAAAAGGTTCAATAAACTCGTTTATTAGACGGTAAAGTGTGTTTTAAACTTTGCATAAAGGTGGGTTCTTTTACGGCAGATAAACCGACACATTTTTTCAATTATTTCCAATTGCTTAAAATAATTATTAAGTTTCGAAACCAAAAAAAATACAAAGCCCGATTTGTAATTAAATACTTGAACCTATAAAACAAGTAAAGTTGCATTAAAATTTTTCCCGATTGTTACATATAAAGAACAAATTTACGTGTTGCTAAGGTGCCCCAAATATTTAAACAAAGTGAAGAAATTGATTGCCCTTAAGCCTGCGAACGAGTGGCATGGGTGCCTGCGTATCAACCTTGTTTAACATTTGTTCACATATATCTTTGCCCAGGGTTAACTGGTTTTAAATAGGGGATTATTGGCCCTAAATATTTAAATGTTAAAAAGGGTAATATTAAGGCTTGGGCCGACACAGCAGTTTGGACCAGGGTTCTGCAATATGTTAGGAAGAAAATTCTTTAAATGATTACCGACTTTACAAAATTTATTTGGAGTATCTCAAAGAAAAAGTGCTTAAAGCATATGGTAAATGGCATAAGCATTTTCAATATCTGATAAAGCATAATGGATAAAGCATTTGAGAATAAACTATCGTTATGAACGATTTACAATTAACGATATAAAT